TAATGCAAAACAGAAAGGATCTCCACCAAATACCATAAAATATTAACTTGCATAAAATTATGCGAGAAGTCTTTTTAGTTATCACTGAAAATTTATATTATGGAGATTATGACCTGCAGATTTTTATTGATGATACGCGTCTATAGCGGAGAGATAACTGTAAGGGATGTTGCTTCAGCTGTTGTTAGTATAGAGATGTAATACCACTTTGTAATTGTCAGTAAACCACATTTGACTATTTTGTAAGTGATTCGTTATAAGCGTTAAATTATTCGAATCAAACTCAAGCAAAAAACGAATGAGCGCACACTTATGGGACACACATAAGCACAACGCTCTTCTACTCCACATTTTAATTGACTATTCGTTAACCCATACAATGTGAAATAAAATGAATATAGAACCCACCCGGAATTGGCACAATCATGCAATCATAAAGTTTATAATTTCCATTTTATTACTCTTCGTGATGTTGGTCCATACGAAGTCAAACAATAGCCATTCTACGCTCAAGCTTGCCTTCATAGGAGCGAATATGTAATCTCATTTAATTGCGCAACTGTCTAGACAAACTAGCGTCGACCACGACCACGTGTGCATGTGTGTGTTTTCGTTTTTTTGTTTACCAGTAGCGCGAGAGCTGTTGTTCAGGGCGTATGAGTGACCAATACAATAAGTGTGTAATTTTGCATGCTGGGCGTATAAGTGACTAACCGGAGCGATGGAGTGTTGCCAAATGCCAACTGTCCACTGCGTATAAGTAACGGCCAAAATATGCGCATACATACATATATATGTACGTTTATATAAGCTATTGTATGGCATTTAAGTGTGTGACTGGGTATGAGTGTTTGCTAGCAAAACAAAGTACGTTTCATATGATTCTATGTAAATATCTGAGTGCTTTGCGGGGTGCATGAACTACAAACAACCAAGAATGAGTATAATACCGAACAAAGCACATTCATTCACAAATTTCGGTAGATGAAAGGATGTGTATATGCCTGTACAGCTGTGCCTATAGGGAGAATTTGCTTCCATGAAAATCGTGTAAAGGCCACTTAAATTCGTTTGGTGGTCCTTCAATGAGTCAACACAGCAACTAGCTATGGACAAGCATGAAAAAAAAGAAAACCCACTTTTTATTTTTTTCTAGTCAATTCTTTTCGATTGTGTTCTTGCTACGTTACGCACTAAAACCATACCTTCTTCGTTTTTATATTCCAGCACATTTTGTCAATTGTGCCTTCCAATATATTATATATTTTGCCATTTATACTTATAACGTATTGTCGCCTTACAGTCGCGATATATCATTTGGCCGTTGTCCTTAGATTTAACCGAATGTGTAAGCAAAAAAGTTGTCATATCTCAAGGCTCTAAACTATAGCTTGTTTGGCTCACTTCGCCAGCATTGAGCAGGGTCATTGAATTTTGTTAGAGTACAGTAAATATACATACGCATGGTTTCGTACGTCATTTGCCATTCTAAGTCGTGTGATTTGGTTTAGGGAAACATTAAGGTAGAACGGTGGATTCTTCAAATTGTGAAAGGTGCTATATCATAAGTATATCTCTCTTAAAATACGATAATAATATTTATAATTATTTGGAAATAAAAGTTTAAGCCATTTGTGATTCGTTCCTTCATCGTTCCGTTTTGTACAAGTTAAAGGGTTTTACCAGTACGTCATTTACTTTACAGTTAAGTAAGACGTCCTCCTTTAATATTTGATAAAAAAAATTCTATGTAAATAATAGTGCAAAATTAATTGCCTTTTTCTTGTGGCAGAGCTCCTGAAAATATGTATCCACATTTTTATTAAATATAAGAGGAAATTGTTATTGATTTAATATTAGATTTTTTTAATCATTTGGAGAGCTATTGGCTGTGTTCTGATATTTCTTGTGGTTTCGAAAACATATGGTGTCACTTTTGCGTTTAAACAAAAGTTAAAAGTTCAGTTTAATTAAAATTATATTCTCGACGACAGTGTGTTGTGGTTCAAAAGTGCCAACTAACCTCAAATTGCAACATAGCACAACGGCATACATACATATTTACAGACCTAAAAGTTACTCATACGCCACCACAATCCAGCAGCTTTCAAACTCGTTTAATCATATTTGCTGCCAATGTGCAGTCTGCCAGTATCCAATAAACGGCAAACACAACTTTATAAATGGCATACCAAGGAGAATGAAATGAAATTTAATTGCATGAAGGTGAAGCCGAGAAGAGTACGTAATACGATTGTACATAAAACGATTAATAATTGTGTACTCAGCGAATGAAATATGCTACAAAGTTTGTATTGCACAAATACGTTGCATGCGAAAGCATCTGGATTTTGAGTCGACTGCAGCATTAACATTATAAGTAAATTAAGTAAATTTTGATTTTCAGTTATAGTTGTATTCGCACAGCAAGTTAAGCCAGTTTATCGTTCATACCATCCATACTAATCCATACTTCCATAATTATTATTATAAATGTGAATGTAGGTTTGTTACGCTTTCACGCCGCAACCACGTAATCGATCATCATGAAACTTTGTACACCTATATCATACTTAATGGTATAAGAAAGGACATAGGATATTTACTATTAGAAAATATATATATTCTTACGGCTTGACGAAAAGTCTCTTTTGGCAAATTTGATTGTTTATAAACAAATTTGAAAAATAAAAATATTATATTTGTTGTTTGTTGAAATATTTTAGAATTTATATAAGAAATGCATCAAGCTCTGCTTTGCTATTATTATAAACAAAGCATAAGGGCAGACATTACCGGTAGCAGGGGTATATGTATCCTGTTCGCCTGTAGCTTACACATTTTTTCACCAGACGGAAAAACTTACAACATAGCATACAAAAATATCATAAAATATTACTCTGTTGAAATCTATTTTAATTTTTATGAAAATACAGTTTAGTATGTAGTAATTTTGAAATCTTAATTTTTATTAAAATGTAATAATCTTTCATATTAATTGAAAGGATTCAATGCGAGTGGTAAAGCGGTCAATTTTATGCAAAAATTCACCAGCACATATGTATATTATTTTACGAAGAGGATGTTCCCGGGTAGAGTCTATATCAATTATATTTTTTAAATATCGCCTCTTTTGCGGATTTTATATTATAGCACATACGATATGTATGTTTGTAGTTGTATATATGAATAGACAAGCAATTGAAAATTGTATTACGGCAGCTGTTTTAATTGTGCATCACAGCCGTATAACGGAAGTACGGTAATATGGAGTTGTTGAGTAGTTATGATGGATGACCACTGGTGCTTATTTGGCTACTTGGCTGTCTTGAGTAGGTTACGGGCATACGATGATGGTATGTACTTTCCGGCTGTGGCCGTCTTTTACTGACAACGGCGTTTATACCTTGCCTTGCCGTTGGCTGCTTAAAAACACGGTCAGCAAAGCAATTAACCCAAAGTTCAAAGTTCAAAAGTATTTGAAGATAGCGGAAAGTGCGCGTGAAAGTCTACAAATGTATATGTATTTATGTAAAAACATGTGGCAATGTTAACAAACATATGTATCTATGTATATGTGCAATGCGTAAAATGTGTACATATTTGTACATTGTACATGTACGTAAGCACTGGCAGACTGCAGCTCCTCTATTCACTAACCGTTGCAGAAGATGTTTACTCCTTGCTTGTGCAAAAAAACTTCCTTGGAAACACACACTAGTTTTCATACTTGTTCGTTCAAGCATCGAGTGTGTTAATGTTTTTGTATTTTGCAACTGTGGCTTGGCGCGTGCCAGAGCCCTCGTACGTGTCGTTGTCAAAAAATATTTGACCTCATTTCGTTTGCTTACGAATACACGCGCACAAATGTGCTCCAACACTCAACTTCCTCACTCACATTTACATATTATATTTATAGTGTGGACCGGCGGCTAGATTCGCCCATAGTGAGCTTGAGTTTAAATCCGCGCATCGGCTGTCATCTTCATATTTCATTTGCTAACTCCTTTCTTGGCTGCAGCGTCCACTGCATTCCATCCAAAGCTTCTACCCCTTCTGCGGTTACCGTTCAACAACGTTCGTTATTTTAAAATACAAATTGTTATAAAGGAGTAAACAAACCAAAGGGAGCGAAGGAGAAATACTTGTATACAGTTGTTAATATGTAAGTACGGAGCGGTTGGCAGCTGTGAACACTGAACTGACTTGGTTCCAGTGCAGCAGAACCATATAAAGTTTTCTCATAAAAATCCATGTGATGTTCGGTACATCTAGCGGAACTGTATGTAAATAGATATACACATGTATAGAATATCCATTTTTCTAAAAGACCTAAACATTTTTTCAACGAAGTAGCCAAAGTGAGTTTTCGCATATTTCGCTTTGTTGTATTTAAACAACACACTAAAAATTAATATTTTAGGCGATGGTAAAATGATAACAACAAAATTTCGAATTACCCCTTTTGTGCATACTTATGTTTCTAAGCAGCTTTCAATAATTGGTATGAAGCCCTTTATTTTGTATTACTACCGCGGAACTTGAGTTCCGTTAGGAATCAACGAAAATTTTAACAACTTTAACATAAAAGCTTTTGCTCTGTTGGTCGAAAACTGGAATCGAACCTAATTCCGTGATTGACGTTGTTTAAGTGTTCGATACAATGTTTTCGAGCTGATGGGTGCTATAGTCGTAATTTGACCTTCAAGGTCATCTTTTTAAGAAGAAGAGTTTGAGTCATTCAAAATCCTTACGTTGATGGCATCTTTGTAAGATTTGGACTTGGCCAATGTTAATTAACTCACCGTTAGGACAAACAATTTAATATCAACACCGGTATTACATGTGTTATAATGTTTAATGCTTATTTCTGAATCAAGAAAATGTACGTAAAATTGAAACAAAAGCGAACCGAAGCTAACGAGTATTTATCCGACTTTATTCATGAAAAAGTTCTCACATACACTCTTATTGATATCTTTACTTTTTTTGCATTGCAGTCGCTAAAATGCCGTACGAGTCCATGCACCATCATCAGTCATCAGCGCCTAACGGTATGTTGGACTCATTGAGTTTGCAACTCCGTGATGCGGAGATGCGGCGCACTGAAATTGAGCGCGCACATCAGGTAAATACCAGCAATAAAGTCAAAAGCAAATTAAACTTTAATAAAATCTATGTTTTTAAAAAACGATTACTGCTTCTTTTTGCTTCGTTTTTATTTCGGGGTGGTTACAGGAAACGTTGGCACAAATACGCAATATGTCGAGCAGCAGTCGCCCGGATACGGAAGCTGTCGAGAATCTGCAGTCGCGCGCGCGTGAACTTGAGAAAAAAGTGAGTTGGTAGAGGGTTTAATTAAACTTATGGCGCGGCAAGAGTGTCGAACTCGTACTCTAGTGAAAACTATTTTCTAAAGCCGATTTTATCTTTTTCATTGGTTATATCAATCTTATCAATTTTAATGTAAACAATTTTAGGTCGCTTTGGAAAATGTACGCTGCGAGGAATTGCAAATTGAATTAACGTCTGCATTGAAGGCAAAGGCTGCGCGTTCTGGCGGTAGTGACCGAGGCAACTATGGCGGCATTTCGGCATCAAGCGCAAGTGCTTCTTCAGCGGCCGTCACATCGGGCACAAGTTCCACTGTCACATGGGCACCGACAATCAGTCATCAGGACCAAGGCACTGAAATCGATATCATAATGGCGAAAATTGAACAGGTGAGAAACTGCCTGGCAACAGCTTTCTAATAACATTGGTGCAAGTGAAGAGCGCAAATTGCTATTTTTATAGCCTGGACATCAAAAGGCATCCTATTGATTTATTCATCCCGACCTGCTCATCCGTCTGAGAGTTTATGCGGGATCTTTTTGAAATGTTAATATTAAGAACAATTTTGAAATTGCAGATAACCGGCATGTTTTGAATTTTGATTCACTAAAAATCCACATTCGTTTCGAATACTTTAAGAACCGTTTTTTCCATCAAAAATAACGCGGAGATCTGGCAAGGCAGAAACCTCAAATTTTTAAGCATTGCCTTGGTGGGAATTTGAACCCATCATCTGATGAATGCCATGCAGTGAAAACTTCAGCAATCTTCCTCGAGTAATGTTTTTTAAAACAAATATTCCCTTCAAACTGAAATGCATCTCACGAATGACAGAAAAATGCTTCCCAATATCAATATTCTTCCTTTAAATTTAAAAAAAGGATTTAATTTTGTTTGTAGCTGGCGAAATAATTGAAACATAATTTGCATTACATTTGCATTAATTTGTTGTTTGTTCTCCAGGATAATCGTGTATTGGCCGAGTTGGAGCAGCCCCGTACATCGGCCATGGGCATGTCCTCGATGCCAACAAGTTCCATATTGAATAACGCAAATAGTGAATTTAAAACCATATCAAAAAGCGGTAAGCTATGGTAAATATTATTGGCATATATTCAGCACTATAGTGGAAACTTCTACATTTCAGAATTAGAAGAAGAGCTGAACCGTTATAAGCGAGCAGGTCAGTAAGGATTTTAGACTAGCGATTCAATTTTTGCATTTACTAATTTTGCCTACTTAAAATTTATTGCAGTGTTGGGCGGCACAAGCGGCACCGCCGTCGGTAGTTCGGCGCTCACCAGCAGCTATGGTACCGCAGCCACCACCGGCGCTGGTGGCCTACCATCATCGCTTACCTCCGCTTTGCCGAATGGCGCTAGCGCCATGTCTGCCGCATTAGTTGGTAGTGGAGGCACCAGCGGTGTTGGTGTTGGCGTTAGTGGAGGTGGTGGCAGCAGTGTCGGCAGTGGTGGTGGTAGTGGTAGCAGCGGTCCAGTCGGTGGCAGCGGCGGCGGTGGTGTTATGGGCCTCTCATCTATATCAGCGCTGGTGCCCAACTCCATTGGCGGTATATCGTCGAGTTTGAGCAGTCATGCCATACAATCGATGAACACGGCCGCGTCCGCCTATGGCGCTGGTCCCACGTCCGTTGAGAAACTGCTAAGCGGAACAAGTGGAATCGCTGGCGGCATTCCACCATTGCCGGTAAATATTCATACGATGAAGTCTATGCCATCAGCATTAAGTCAGGTAAACTATTTTTAATAATGAACGAAACAAATCACAAATTACATTGATCAAAACAATAAAAATAAAAAACAAATTAGAAAATCACTTAGTAACTTGTTCGAAAACTATTGACTTCCATACGTATTAACCAAATCGTTATCAAATACAATTAATTTCAATCAGAATAACATACAATCGTACTAACAAATTCGAATTGGTTTCGCTAAGAATTTCGCAATTTCGTTCTAATTGTTTGATTTTGTATTGAATACTAACTCATACGCTTGTTATGCGAAAGAGAGCAATAAGCAAATGCAAAAGTTATTGGTAAAACGTCGAATGCCAATGTATTTGCAGCGAAAGCACGACGGTTTACTGAGCGAATTAAGATATACGAATTTTCTGAGTTTTCTAATATAAATGTTAATAGAAAATTATTTCTAAAAACTTTAAAAGCTTTCAGCATAAAATCGCTGCGAGTAAAATTAAGTTTCAAAATTCAGTTTAATCATACAAAAAAATAAATTCAAAACATTTTACTTTTATAAATATTTTTTAAATTCTAAATGCGTATAAATAAATTGTTTGAGCAAAACATTAGAAATCGCACAAAGCCCTACATGCTTTCGAAGTAAATGTGTGGTATTATTGTTGCGCAGTAGTTTCATTATTGAAAATAATTTCGAATATAATTTATGGCTTACTCATTTCTTTAAAACAAAAACAAGTGAGTAAAAACTGTACTCATAGCGTTAATTTTTTCTAACTTTGGAAATGAGTCGTATATTTTTAACAATTCTTTTGACAAGCCAAATTCCAATTCCTTATTTTTATGAAATTCCCTTTTGATCTGTTTTTCTTACATTCTTACATCAATTTTATTTGTAATTCCGTTAAAGAATGTTTCCTTACTATAAAAACTACTCTTACGTATTTTAAACTGGAACTTTTTTAGAATAATCTTTTTAACGTAGTACTCCGTGTAAAAGTTAAATAAAAAACTGGTGGTTATTATTATTTTTAGTCTGTATGATTGCATTTTAGAAATATGACACTGAAATACACACAATTGACTAATATTTAAAAATGATCATGAAATATGATCTTATGGTTGGATTAGTACTTCATTTTTATGATAAGCTCTTTATTTATGCTGTTAATTAAAGTATAAATGCGAGGTATAACAACTAAGCACATTTTTGCCATGTCTTATTTACTATCTTAAAAACGCATCACTCGTCCGGAGATGGCTTACAACTTGTCTGTCCTTCTTTTTGTTCATTAGGCTTAAAGATCAGAAAAAAGCAGTCAACTATTTAATGGAGGTTCAACTTACGAAATAACTCAGACACTGCATCAAAGTCATAACATGTGTTTGTGTGTATTTCTGAGTCTTAAACTACTTAGTTTTTTATATAAAACCGTCTAACATTTACATATATTTAACCATATAGTAAAAATAACACTTTTTTAAACAATTGTTAATTAGTGTATGAATTTATTAAATTTGTTTTACCTTTCCAACTATTTGCATGCCGACTGTTCTGATTTCTTAATAATCTAGTTACTAACTTTGTGAATATTTATCGATATGGTGTTTTTAAAGGGGCATAATACAGGTTTAGAAAGACCTCCAAATTTATTGCCACATATTCGATCAGATTGTGATCAGATGTGTAGGGACCGACATCGTGGCTCGAAAGCTTTTAATTTTTAACTTTATGTTTAATATGCCTAATGTATGTATGTCTACGCTTGTGAGTGTTAAGTATTGATCGTATGTATGCAAATTGAAATAAAAAGTTATGTACATATATACGCTTATATTGGTGATCTATTGCATATGATTACATTGAGAATAACGCCTTTCCTTTGATTTCGACTCGATTTTGTACGACTGTATTTTTATATTATGCTTGTGTATTCAAATAATTTATTTTTCTACTCCCACTTTGCTCTGTTCATTAGTTGCTGCAAATAAATGCTGTTATAGCAGAAATCGCTTAAATATGTTATTCAAATTACATATGTATTTGCATAGTTACAAGAGTTGAGAATTACTTTCGCTTGCGCTCGCATTAAAACATTCTAACTTCATGCTTCACCTGTGTACGAGTATGTTCATTCGTTTTCGTCTGAGACGACATTTCATATTACAGAAAATATAAAGGATCTTCATTTAGAAGGACATCAGTAGATATATAAGTATATAGTCACATTTCTCGTACAGTAATTCGTACATAATCGTATCTATATTGCTAGATCTTATGTATGTGTAATATATTGTTTTACACATACTTACATATATTCATACTCGAATCGCACATAAATATTTTCTCATAAAATTTCCTTCTTACTGAAAGTGAAGCAACGGTAACTGAAAGCAAACAATTTTTCATTTCTCTTTCCTTCTTTCATATGTGCTGTTGTCTTTTTCATTCTTTCTTTTTTAACATAAATGTTTAAAATAAACGTATAAATGAAAATATGTAAACTGTGATACACCACCATTTTCTAACCGTACAACTGTATTTTGTCAATGTAATCAAAAACTTCCTGTTTAAAATCTTTTATATATAAATTAATTAAATACATATGTTGTCCTTTTCTAAATATCTCGCTGCCACTTATCAATCAAAACAAACCGATTTTATTTTCTTTTTGTGTCTCTATATATTTGCGCTCTCTCTTTCTCTCTCTTGCCTCCCAATTTGTGTGTGTGTCTGTTTTTGTGTACTGTGTCAACACCATATACTAACCTTTACCAAAATAATTGTGTATATTTTGAATTTAAAAAAAATCATAAATTTGTATTTCAATTAAACTAAACACAATGTTTACTTAATAATTTATTATAATCCCTAAATAAAAACGCAATTACTTTGCAAAACTCGCAAAATAACACGAAAACATTGAAAATAAAATAATAAAATAGCGTGGCACAATACAACTGTATAATTTACAGAGCACAACCATGCCCATCTTGTCGTTGAACGCGCATAACATACCGACCGGTACGAGCAGTTACTCGGCACTGGGGCTAAGTGGTGCCGGCACTGTTGGAGTGCCATCGTTGGGCTCGTCGCTGACACACCCCGCCTTGGGTAATATGCTCGATACGAGTACCCTGCTCGGCACTACTGGTTTGTCGGGTTTGAGCGGTGTGGGGGCCGCCTCTTCGTTGTATGGATTGGGCGCTGGCACCGGCATCGGTGGTTTAAGTGGACTCACCAGTGGTCTATCTAATTCTTATGTCCCACCTTACATTGATGTGGGTTCGAGCGCCTCATATCCCTACTCGTCGGCTGCATTGCGTACTGCTACGAAAATGAAAATGCTCGATGAGATTGACATACCATTGACACGTTATGGAAATCGCAGTTCGCCGTGCTCACCAATACCGCCTAGCACGTGGGGACTCGATGAGTTCACTGATAGTTTAAGTGCTTCAATGTTACATAATCGTGGCAATTTGGCGTTGGGGGCATTGGATTTGGAAAGTGAGTATGGTATATGTGGTAGGCCGTGTGTGGTATGTTATATAACTATATCATTTGCATTTGCAGCGCGAAATCACAATTTAAATGGCGTTAGTGAACCACAAGTAGATATGTTGGACATACCGGGCAAGGGACGATGCTGCGTCTTCATAGCACGTTTTCCATATGATCCACCAGAGTAAGTACGGCGTTGTAGGCTTAAATGGTTAGTGAAATCAAGAAGTTGTAAACAAATAAATTTAAATATAACTTCAAAATGGTTAGTCTTAAGATGAGGATTAATCCGAAGGCTTAGGTCCGCTTTCAGGCTTCTGATTGCTTTGCTTTCATTTTTTTTATTCTTTCCGCCTTAATTTTCGTAAAAATGAATATTGGCATTTTACTTAACTATATTTACTTCTTTAGGGAAGCTGAAGGTGAATTATCTCTTTGTGCTGGTGATTATTTACTCGTTTGGACCAGCGGTGAACCGCAAGGCGGGTATTTGGATGCCGAATTGCTGGATGGTCGGCGAGGTCTTGTGCCTGCCTCATTTGTGCAACGTTTGATTGGTAATTCTTAATTCCCGATGAACCACATTTTATCAAGTAAAAGTTGGTAATTCTGGACTGCCTTGCAGGTGATGATCTTTTGGAATTCCATCAAGCAGTACTGTCGACATTGCGTGACGCCGAGGATGGTTCTATGCAATGTGATACTACTTCGTTGCCCTCGCTGCCGCCTCACAACCCTTTGCTCACACACACCCAGGAGGACTTGGCACGTTTGAGTGAGACGCACACAGATTTGGAACATGATCAAGATGACATAAGTGATAATGGTGAGTAAGCAGTAGCATGTGGTAGTATAAACATAGCATGCCTACCTATGTATAAATTTGATATATGGATATATATGTATGATGATTAAACTTTATTTTAATTGTTTAGTTTCTCAATTAATTGATTTAATTTTATTTCGTCTGTTTTCCTCTTACTCTTCTACGCTTTTGATGTTTCTTTAATTATTTTTTTTTGTTGTTGTTATAATCTGGATGTGGTTGAAACGTGAGCAAGTATACTCCGACATGCGAACTAGCTATATAGGTTCATCGTGGCCATTGAATCAATTGTTCCTAGGTTCAGCGCCTGCATTTGAAGGCTAGTTAAAGTTCTCTTACACATTTAATAAAAGTATACACTAACATTATGTTTTGTAATAAAGCTAGTACCGCACATGTATGTGTAATGTGAGATAACGAAATATTATTGTACGTATATTCGCCGAAGATGTTGTAAATAATTTGCTGACCGCCAAACTTTACTCCTCTTACTTAATCACATTTTAATATTATTACATATATTATAGTTTGTTTCTTACTTTAGTTTTCATATTTGATTTATGTATTAAGCATATGTGGATATCGTCGAGTTAATTTATTGCTAATATAGCCCATATATTATAGCCCATTTTGTGTATCAATAATCGTGTGATTATAGTCTTGTCACTAAAAGCCAAAACTAATTTTCTGAAGTCAAACTTTTCCTTTCGATGAAAAACAGATCGGCTCTTAGCTGTACTAGCTTTACAATTTAGAAACAATAAGAGTTATGGTATGGGACTTATATGAAAAAAGAACATCGAAGATAGAGCTTCAAGACGCTTTTACTTTTTCGGATGGAGCTTGAACGTTTTCGATTCCATATTTTAAGTTGTTTTCATATTTTGTCTAATTAACCCAAATATAACAAATTACCAGCAGTGAATCTCCTAATAATATTGGTATTCATAAATTTTTTCGAAAGTAACATAGTGATTAGAACGCTAGGGAATCGCTTATCAAATGTAAAATATTTAGAAATGATCTTGCTCTTTCTGAGAATAATGCTAATTTAGATATTTCATATTATTTGGGTGTTAATAAATTTCTTATCGATTTTTATCTGGTTCGCAGTTCCAGCACCGAAGCACTTAACGTTGGAGCGCCAGCTAAATAAAAGTGTCCTCATCGGTTGGTCACCACCGGAACCAGTAGGCTATAATCTCATTGACAGCTATCATGTCTATGTTGACGGCGTCCTGAAAGTAACGGTAAAGGCTAATGAGCGGACACGAGCGCTTATAGAGGGCGTGGACTCAAATAGGGTAAAAATATAACATTTACTTCTTTATGTTATTTGAATAATTTTCATATAGGAATATATATATTTATGCTTTAACACTCATTACATGAACACAGCCGCATCGTATCAGTGTGCGTAGTGTTACACAGAATCGTCAGACATCACGCGATGCAGCATGTACAATGATTATTGGACGCGACACCTCGCATTTAGGCCCTTCAGCGGTGCGTGCTTCGCATATTACCTGTTCATCGGCAGTCATATCATGGTTACCGGCCAACTCAAATCATCAGCATGTGGTGTGCGTGAATAATGTAGAAGTGCGTACGGTCAAACCGGGTGTATATCGCCACACCATTACCGGGCTGGCCCCGAGCACACAATATCGAGTCACAGTGCGGGCTAAACACCTGCGAGCAGCGGGTGGACAACCTACACCGGGACGTCCACAGGAGGAAGCACCGGGTGCGTATGCTGATTTCCGTACGCTGACTAAGGGCTTGCCCGACCCGCCACAGGTGAATTCAAATTAGAAGAAAACTGTTTTCGAACGAACTTAAAATACCTACTTATATATCTTTTTAGGATATCCAACTTGAGGCTGGTCCTCAAGATGGTACCATTTTGGTGACATGGCAGCCGGTTAACCGGCCAACATCTTCTGGCCCCGTAACCGGCTATGCTGTGTACGCCGATGGTAAGAAAGTAACAGACATAAACTCACCAACTGGGGATCATGCGCTCATCGATATCGGCAAACTGGGCGTATTCAATCCACGTGCGGTCACCATACGCACCAAATCCCGAGACGCACAATCAGCCGATAGTGCACCCATACTAATACCAAGTGAGTTGATTTGAGCTCATCATGGTTGTACTGATTGAAGCAAGTGATATAATCTATAATTTGATGTTTTTCACTAATTTCAATTACAGATACTGTGCGCAGTGCAGTAGGTCGCCGAGGGCCTCAACAAATGGGCATGGGTCCGCAACAAATGCAACCCGGTACCCATGGCATGCCCGGCCAAATGAGCATGCCTGGTCAAACGCATCAGCAACAACAGCATATGATGGGCCAGGATCTGCATCAATATGACCCAAATCAACAAATGCAACACGGACAACAACAACAAACCGGGCAACAACAACCAGGGCAGCCAGGACCACAGGTGAGCTATACAAAGCATAAATGGCAGGCAAATTATTATTATAAACGAAAACAACAGAACATGAAGAAAATAAGTACACTCACTCCAAAACTTAGAACATTCGAATTTTACTATCGATAACAATATACTCACATATACAAACTGCTGCACATTGTACATAAAAATGAAAGCGCCGATATGGTTACAACTGCATTCGTCCTTTCTCAACTAACAAGTTTTCAATTAATTGGTACACAATTTTAAAGTCATTTCAATTGTTTATGTTCCTATGTATGTTAAAATTTCAATGTATAATTTAGAAAATCAATTGATACCAAGTTCATGCGCGCTGTATATATGTACATACATACATACAAGCAGACAGCTAAAGGACAAAAGTTTATTTTTGTCTTATATTAAATGAATCGCACCAAAAGGGCAATACCCAACACACACGCACAAACCTCACAAGCACTGAATATTATACTAACCAAGCAGGATATGTTTCTTGTTGCATTCAATCGATGAATTAAAAGCACAAGTATGTGCTTTTCTTTATGTTTGCTTTAAGTTTATTTGGTTAATAAAATATATATATGTATTAAACATAATACCATTCGACTTTCGTATACACTATACCTGGAGTTCCTAAATAATAAAATGCTGCTTAAATTTTTTATAAATTGACATTTTGAAATTCAATTATTATTTTATCACATTCCAAGCATTTTATTTTAAAGGATTATTTTTTATGAACATGGATTATTAGCTTATCAAATACTATATAGTAAATGTACTTGTATAGTAAAATTCGAATGGAAGCGTGAAAAAAATCACCGCTGACCACGGTGACTGAGACAAAAATATGTTGTATTTAGTCAAATGGTGATTTTCAAAGGTTCAGCTTAAGGTATTTTACCAATTAATAATTTTTAAACGGATGAAATAGTAATAAAACATTTAACACATGGAAAAACTTAAAAATGCGGTAAAAATTGTTCGCGAATAAAAATATTTAGATAGCCATTTCGTTTTTAAAATCTTTATGCATATGTACATATAAAATTAATAGAACCAAAATAATAAACTATATTAATACCCGATTCTAATTTTAAATACTATTTGTGGCTGTTTCAATTACTAAAACTTTTAGAAAATTTTCACTCTTCCATTTGCAATATTTCTCTTAGGCCTTTAACTTTACCTTCTCTTAACTTTATACTTCTTCTCCTTTAACTGACATCTGTTTGCCCAACTTTTGAACTTTTTCCAAAAATTTGACAAAGTTTCCCATAACATTGCTAATCTGCTTTCATTTTTTATAACAATAAATAAGATAAATTAAATTTATATTAATTGAGAGTGTTTTCTGAGCCTAAAAAATGTTAGCTGAGTAATACTAATCAACAAATTTTTATTGCACTGACTTCACTAAATCCTATGTTAGTTGTTGCTTCCTACAGGCCCCATATTTTGAGCCCCATTTTACCATGACATTTAAAGAAAAATAACAGAGTTCTGAAAAATGTATGTATGTAAAGGAAAAAGCAGTAAGACTTAAGTATTTCGAGCATGTCCACTGCATTTTGAAGAAACTGAGTAATTTTTCAATGTTCATGTCATTTATTAATTTTTGTGACTTGTGCACTTTTTTCCAAAATTTTCATTAAACTAGTTTATATAAGTTTTTGAAATAAATTGAGTATTTAATTGAAAACTTAATCTACAGTTTATGGTTAATTGCCCTTAGTTGTAATGTACTTATTTTCTAAATGCAAAACATATATACATTATGAAAACCGTACAAATCAAACTACCCGTACTAACCAATCAATCAATCAAGTAAACAATTTTTAACATTCAATCAATCAATCAAAAAAAAAAATCAAAATCAAACCAACCAACATTTTACAACAATTTTCATAAAACCCAAACGCATCCATCTATAATACTCGCACTGCAGCCTGACGGAAGCCATGGCTTATTAGGTGGGCTGCTCGGTGGCCTCTTCTCAAAACCCACTACTCAGAGTCAAGTGAATCAGAATGTCAATGTAAGTTACTCACCCAACAACACATAAACTTAACACATACTTTCTTACTAACTTGTCTACTTAAATGAATTACTTAATTGTTTATGTTATAAAATATTGATTATTGAAATTAATATTATATACTAAAGATACAATGCTACATAATACCTATACAAAACATTAGTTTTACCTGTTTTTGTTATTAAACACTTACAATTAGCGGCTAGCCTTGCTGGCATTAACCATCATTATCGACTATAATTTCGTTTTCCAACACTGTTTTTCTGTACCAAGTACATACTGATAACTGAATGCATTTGAATGCCTAACACTTAGTTAGACTATTGTTTTGTTAATAAACATTACAATTATTTTAGTTTTATACGTTTACATCTCTACATTAGCGTTAATTACATACTCATCCTTATTACATTGTACATTTTGCTTGCGAACACCAAAAACCATATTACTTTCTTACATCAAAATTACCCACATAAATATGTATGTGTGTCGCTTTTAGATTTAGTACTATTGTGATCCAAGCGGATGTGTAGTATTTGAAAACCGAATTTCCTACCAGTTACCCAAAATAAGTACTGCAATTGATGATTATTTTTAGTAGAAATATGATAAAATTGATTTTCGAAAAAATTCAAATATTATTGGATTTTAAATTCATTTTGTAAGATTTGATACAAACTGCCTCGAAAATAATGTTAGCATAACACAATGAATTTGGGAAAAATTAACTTCAATGTAATAATTTAGGCAATTATAATCAACAAAGTACTTATATAAAAATTATAATTACTCAAAAATATAGAGATATTCTCTTATATATAGCCGGTTATGGAAATGAGGCAAGGCATGGGAATCTTCTGTATAGCGTGATAACACTGGTTAACAAAATTTTAATTTTTTTGTCACATTATATATCAAATATTGAATGCATATAACGTTATACTTGTATGGGGAGAGGACGGGGTTATAACCCGATTTCATCCATTTTCACACTTTCGGTGGATATTCTTGTAGGATTTGCCCTTTGCAAATTTGGTTATTTTAGCTTTAGTGATTTAGCAGATATGTACATTAAATCTATTAGAGGGCGGATGCCATGCCCATGTTTTCATAATTTTTAGTCCAGTTACTAAATAACAGGTATATATCTTAATTTATTGCTTGGTTATGAAATTTAATAGGTTTTCGGTTAATGGCGTTTTATGAGCGAGGCATTGGTTCGATTACGCCCATCTACGAATTCGTCCACACTTTTTTGCCATGAAACACGTGCACCAAGTTTCATTTATTCATCATTCATAACGTGATTTTTATTGAAGTAATCGCTTGCACAGACGGACAGACAGAGAGTCACTCGGAATTCAACTCGTCTCGTCATTCTGATCATTTATATAAATATTTGCTTATATACAAACAACTGTTAGGTGAACAAAACCATTATATTCTGTAGCAACATATTGTATGAGTATAAAAATCATCACAAAGTTCGTGTGACTAAAACAGTGTTTACCAGTGCAGTCGATCCTATTTTTCTCAGAAGCATTTCCAAAGCCTTACATATTTTTTATAAGAAATAATAAACTATTCACATCAATATGCTCCTTTTATAAAAATAGCTCGGTAGTTTCTTTCTGTATAAATTATTAATGACCACCAACTCTGAAATTTCGAAACTAGTGAGGGACTAAATCTGTATCCGCATATATCAACTTTCAATTTTGCGTAATTTTAAAAATATGTAAATTCTTCTACATCAAAATCAGTGAGTTTTGGTTTCAACCAGTTCAACAGCTCATAATAATACTCTTCAGCTAACATTTGTGTTTTATAGATGACAAAATATTATCGATATAATAATATTCTTGGTTAGAGCTCCCTTGCAATATACCTATCTGTTAAACATTGTCGATACTTCTTTGATGTTGTCGCATGGTTGCTTCAAGAGCAATCAATATTCATAACTCCTAATTATCATAATTTGTTAATTTTCGACCATTTGCTTTCCAAGGGATTTAATCATTATTTGTGCACTGATTACTTTGTGTATGGTCTTTTTTAACTTTTGTGCCATTTGGTGCGAATACGATTATAACGGAATTGAGTAAAAACAATTCTTAATTGTTGAAAAAGACGTAATGGTTTTCACGATGAATGCCTTTGGTTGGACTCCGTGATAATTGTATAATGGGTATGCCAGTGCATATAGCATGCCAGTTTTTGTTGATTGGCAACTAGCAAATAAGCTTTATTTATTAGTATGAAAAACGGAAGCTGGCGGGTAAAGAGTTGCAATAAAAATTCTTCGGTAGATATTTAGTGTTATTGCTCCAGTAAGTCATTTGATATCATGAAGTTTCAATAGAAAATGTAATGAATAAATGTAAGCTCTTTGCATTATTGCTGAATTCTCTTAGGTAAATTCATATTTTACTCAGCTTAATTTTATGTTTTCTGCGTGTTTTATTTCTTCTCAGGTATTCAATTTCGAATCTAATTTTATTCTGTACTCGTAGATTTATAATTCCTTCACTTTAAAGTCTATATATTTGCCTATATAAAAAATATATAGAAATAATTACGACAATTCATTGTAATGTGATGCGCCTGTAAAATTTTTGGTATATTTTTCGCTTCCCTTTTAATTTTAATAAAGCAATATACATACATACATTAATTAATTTTTTGAAAAAGCTAAATGCGAATCATTGCGACAGTGAATAGTTTTATGTAAAAAAATATAAAAACGTAGCATTAAATCAATTAAACTAAATTCCAAAATTTCTTTATAAACAAAATTCATGCCTGATTTATCATTGCTTAACAATATTCGTTCGATTCAATTAAAAATTTCAACAACAAATACTACGAAAACAACATCCAATCCAATGATTCGACCGGTCCATCAAAAATTAAAAAAAAAATATTAAAAATGCATGCGCCATTTGCTATAAATGAAGGGATATCAGCCGGGTACAGGGCAGAGGCCCATGATGCAGAGCCGACCACCTGGCCCACAGATGATGGGTGGACAACAACCTGGCCAGCAGCCTTATGGTCCACAGGGGCAAATGGGTGCACAGCAACGTTTCCCCGGTCAACGTGGGCCCGCACCAGGGCAGATGCAAGGACAAATGCCCGGACAATTGCAGGGGCAGATGCAAGGTCAAGGCCAAATGCCAGGGCAAATGCAAGGTCAAATGCCCGGACAATTGCAGGGGCAGATGCAAGGTCAAGGCCAAATGCCAGGGCAAATGCAAGGGCAGATGCAGGGACAAGTATCCGGCCAGATGCAAGGTCAAATGACCGGGCAAATGCAAGGTGCTATGGGTCCTCGAGGCCCACTAAATCCACAACAACAAATTCAGCAACAGCAACAACAACATCAGCAGCAGCAACAACAGCAACAACAACAGGGGCAAATGGGTATGGGCCCTGCCCAGCAACCATTAAATCAACAACAACAATTGGCGGCACAAAAGAAACCACGTTATTTCGTTGCTATGTTCGACTATGATCCAAGCACAATGAGTCCAAATCCAGATGGATGCGACGAAGAACTGCCATTCCAAGAAGGTGACACAATAAAGGTATGTGGTAGTGTTGTGGGGTAGACTATAGTAGAATATCGGTATGTAGTAAATGTATAGAACTAGTGTACAGGGTGGTGAGAAAACATACTCTTTACAATATACAAAATACAATAAGAACGGACCAAAATATCACCAGCGTTGGTGAAATGAGGTGAGCTAGTATTTGAAAAAGTGCGTGGAATGCCTCCAAGGTATGAGGATTACACATATAACCACCACAAGTTTATTTTAAGATATTATTTTTGCCAATCGGAGCGAGAATGAATCGGTTACAGAATCGGCTTACTTACTCACTTACATACATATACTTATATTAATCAGATCAGATTTACAGTGATTTTTTACACACTAAACCCAAGTTGCATGCCTTAACCGTTAGTCTATTGCTATATGATATTTAATCATCCGCTGTAGTCTTGTGTTCAGAATAAAGAAATAAAACAATTTTCAAGACTTTCTTTTAAGTGTTATTAATGTATTTTTTATGGCATATGTTTAAAAAAGAAAATATTTCTTTAATCTCTTTGCAATATTTGATGAATTGTAAGCTGTCATCTTGATCATGTCTAACCCATACAGGTTTATGGCGATAAAGACGCCGATGGCTTTTATTGGGGTGAATTGCGTGGTCGTCGTGGCTATGTGCCTCACAATATGGTAACGGAAGTGGATGATGGTACCGGCGGAATGGGCCCAATGCCGGGCGGACCACCGCAGCCTGGGGGCCCGGGTCAAGTGATGCCCGGCCAGGGAGGGCCTCAGCAAAGTATGCGTAATGTAAGTCGCGATCGTTGGGGTGATATCTATGCAAACATGCCGGTGAAACGTATGATCGCACTGTATGATTATGATCCGCAAGAGCTGAGTCCGAATGTAGACGCGGAAGTAAGTATGCATGATTGCCTTGATGGTTTTATTACAAGATTTTTATAAATTAGTTAATTTATGTGCGCTTTAACCATTTATGGTAAATATTCTACTGTTGTTGCTGTTGCTTAGCGTAAGGAAACAAGTAGCGGTTTCTTAGGTGGTTTCATAGATGATCTTTTTGGGACTCCCCAAGCCAATAAAAAAGTTACACGAAATGTGAGTGATTTATTCGATTGTGTAGACTTCGCGAGCTTCCTATCTTATGGGAGATTTGCCAACTACACATTGCTATAAACCAGCTTAATTTTTGTAATTTAACTGAATTCAATCTAATTTCTTGCGAAATAGTTTTATAAAGCTCGTAATATATAGTACAGCCCTGTAATACTCGTAAACATATTATATAATATATGATTTAGTTATTACCAAGCTAGAAATTAGTTCATCGTGATCACACCTACAGCATCCACATAAGAAAGTGAATTCCTTATTGCCTTAGTTGTGCCAAACTATTTACTTGATTACTATTTAATACTGTGATACAACTAGGTATCTAAGAGTGCGCTCATAGAGACGGTCGTTAATCGTCTAACCTAACTAAACGGAGTGTGTTTATACGCTGTGATACCGAATTGAATTAAAGGTAGATAGATCCTTTTTTGGAAGATTGTAGAACGCTTAAGGTCGAATTATCTATTTGTTATAGACTAACATTTGTCTCGTTCATCTTAAAAGCAAACTAACGAATTAATATTCTTTTTAAATTCACAGCAGGTGGAATTGAGCTTCAAAACGGGTGAGGTAATACTCGTTTATGGTGATATGGACGAAGATGGTTTCTATATGGGTGAATTGGACGGTATACGTGGTCTCGTGCCGTCAAATTTCCTCGCCGAAGCACCCGATCAGTACAACAATCAAATGGGACCGGCAGGACGTGGTGGCTTAAGTCAACGGGGTAGAGGACAAGGCCCCGGCGCCAGAGGGCCACCGCCACCACCCAGAGACAACATGATGCCCGGCATGACTGGGCAACGTGGTTCTACAGGCAAAAGTAAGTCAATTTTGTGTCAATGTTTACGTACTGTACAAATATATATATCTGACATATACATACATACATACATAAATATGTATATGTATTCGTACAACTTACTAATTACTAACCAACATAAAACAGTGCAACGTGAAAATATAATATATATTTAAAATGAGAAATGATATACATACAACATTATACGTATACTTGTACTTATAACTGTCTTTTTTATGCAGATTTTTTGTAATTATAAGTTTGTAATTTTTATTCTATTTTCATTTTTTCATTTCATTTTTATTTGCCTTCGAATGAAACAATAAAATATACAGTTGAAGGTCAGTTTCTACATATTCTTAGATTATTGCCATATACATATCTACTTATTATATACAATATACATATATACTACTGAACTATATACTCTTAAGATAATCATTTAATTCTTTAATTTTTATTATGTGTTCCATTTGCTATTCGATTAGACTCAACAAAATTTTAAAACCAAAAAAAAAAAATATTTTTATTGACAGACATGTGTACTATAATATTCACAAACGCATTATGTGACCAAAGACATTTAACAGTATTTTTTGGCATAACAAATTCAGGCAGCTTAAACCAAAAATCCGTAGCTTTCATTTCTTTCAGTGTATGTGTCTTATGCAAATCCTCGCGCATATAGAAATATATTTCACACATTTTGCAATAGGTATAATACTTATACTTGCATATTAGAATAAAGAATATAAACAGATATGCCCACTAATTACTTAACAAAAACAAAATAAAAGTAAAAAAAAAAATACAAGCAACAATTTATAATATTATTTTAATGAATTTCCCTCTTAACTAAACTAAGCTGAAATATGCGCACTACATATATAATTCTAATGAAACATATTATAAAAACAAAAAACAATAACAATTTGCAAATTTACTCTTTCCTAAGCTTAAATTGTTTCTTGATTCTGATGTTCTTTTTTCAGTTGTAATTCTTTCTCTTATTCATTTTATCGTATGCAAGCGTTTCGTTCATTCCAATACAAATACATTGTTTTTACTCGTTCCAGTTCAGTAACAAAGAATACCTTATGTACATATGTATATTTAAATTTTTTTTCATAAATTCTTTTTTGGCACATTTTCATGATTTTGTTTATTGCATTGTTTAAAAATTAAAAAAAGTTTGCGAAATGAAAAGTTATTAATATAAATAGTTGTTGTTCTTGTTGTTGATGTTGTACTTTCTTATATTTAGTAATTATTAATATTATCTTAAATACATTTGTATTTGTTGCCATGGTGTTGCGCAACGTCTGTGGAAGCGGAAGCGTATAGTTTATCCTTTTGCTGGAAACTTAAAGTTTAAACCAAGTTGATTATTTCCTGTTATCTCTTCTACTATTTGACCTGTGGCACTCTTGCATAGGAACATTTTCCTTAACTTGGCCATTATTCATAATATTTTAACTTTTACTTTAAAATTAGTTCTGGTTAAAAAAAATGTTTTTGTTGACGTTTACTTCTTTAACAGGCGTTTGACTGAGTTTTTCAGCTATTTTTAATACATTTAACATTTTCATATATGCACCATATATCGGTCAAATTTATAACTCCTACTCTCTCTGTTTATGGTGTGCCACCATTAATTGTCTTTGACCGACTCCATTAATTTCCGTTGCTTTTGAATTTTTTTTGAGCGACTTTCTTTAATTCCTCTGGTGGGAAAACTAACGCTTGAGGTATATTATTGATAGAAACGACCTTGGAAATTGACCTTGTAATAACATTTTCATTAATTGTGGGAAACATTTCTGGTGTAAATGACAATCTAATGAGCTTTCAGCTATGATCTCTCAATTAATTATTTTTAATATATAATTATATAATATATTTGCTTGCATTTTGGCTTTGTGGTGCTAGGTAAAATATAACTTTCTCTTTCTTTTAAAAACATAATCAGAAAATATATTGACAATTGAAAAATAGCGAATCAATCGAGAACGATTTCTGACCCAGATTAAGACGTTAAATGTATTTTGGAAACTCTATGATAACATAAGATGTGGGGTGCTTGAGAAAAGTGTCTGATACTGTCTATGATGGGAAAATTTTCGTTGGGAAATATAATGTTTATACATTATATCTACATATACATGGCAACTAAAGTTTCACTTTTCATTCATACACACTTTTAACCAAATTATTATATTTAAAAACAACAACTATAATTTTACCGCAGTTTTTTTGATTTGTATATGTGCATGTAGTATCTAGAAGTTAAGAGTAAACACGAATTAAGTTTGGAAGTTTCTATAAAACGGTCTTGCTTTGCAACCCTTTGAGTTTTTAAAACAAATTAACGCTCTTTCGGAAAGTAATTACTTCGTACATACCATTATAATATGTTTATAAGATATGTGAATGATATTTATAACAGTGCAATCAGTTTCCAAAACGTTGTCCAATTATTAAAAAAAATCACCAATCTTATGGGTGACAAGGAAGCCATCGATAATTTTTCAGCCAAGAATTACATGACTGCTATTTACAATAATTAATTACTTATTACTTTTGCAATTAATATGTATTTCATCAGACATTGCAAAAAGGAGTTTAATGGTCTTCTAATTTCAGTTTAATACAAGTTTGTAGCGTAAATTAGTTATTGATAACAAACAAATTAAATGAAAAAAAAGTATTTTTAGGTAAGCATATCATATAGTTGGACAACGGATTTCTCCAAAAAAAAATTACCTAATGCTTATTTAGACGTGTGACAAAAGAATTCTCAGCTCGAATAAAACACCTTTTCCTAATTGCTGTATGTATATGGTTAGTTGTTGGTGCTTTGAGAGATTAAGAGGCTGTGATTATTTGGAATTTGTTCAGAATTAATTTTTCTACTACCGATTTACCAACCTCGCGGAACACCGGTTTTGAGTTGTTCTTTTGTCACTCGCTGTGAAGAGAAATGGGTTTATACCACTTCTGAAAAAGTTTTATAGCAAATCATCGGTTTTACCACCACTATTGGACAAAATCATGAGTTTTCTGAAAAGCTATCTATCGTTAACAAAATTCCATCACCTCCTTAGAACTTTTCTCCAATCAAAGCAAAATATTAAAGACATATTTTAATTAAACTAAACGGTTTCTTCTACTTATCTAGCTTTAAGAAATAAGTAGAAATATCGGTACTGAACCAATTCTTGATTAAGAGGGACTAAATTGTCGAAATACCTGTTTAAATTAAAGAAATGTTACGATTACTATGTGCCACATTTGTACGCCCTATTTTTAACACATCTTACCTATATATATGTGTATATTATAAATATATAATGGTTTCAATAATTTTTATTTTTATTTTAAATTTTTTTTATTTTTATTTTACCATACATGTTTGTATATTATGTAGTTGCTTAAACTAGTTAATATAACATATAAATTACTCTCTATATTTATTATTAAATACTCAGCAAAGCAAAGCAAATTAAGAGCGCAATTTAACATTTAACTGTTGAAAGTTGATCGAATGCTTGACATTTAAATGTATTAAATTGTGTTGTTTAGGTAAATTCATTTAATCACTTTACCGTTAATTAAAATATACTAGTCATTTACTGAAACAATTATCAGCGATTTATTCCCATTTTGGAAAAGATGTAGGTTCTTATGTATTCGAAACGAAATACATATATAACATTTTTATTGGTGGTTAAAAATTGTTTATACTATTTATAGATATAACATAGATAGCTAGGTTAGATAGGAATTTCTGGTTTCAGTTTTAACTTTTCATAAAATTGTATTTTTTTAGTAGAGTAACATAACCAACAAAAACAACAACATCAACTAAAAATCGGTATCCATCACAAATAAAAGTCATATCATTTGTAAATAAACTTAACTATTATTACTTTTATGAAAACTATCCTTAAATAATTACCATTTAAAGCTATTAATCAAATGAATGATGCCGAAAACTGTAAAATACTATATGAATATTTGCTACTTCTGAAATTTGTATAAATGAATTGTTCGTGAAGTCTACCTACAGGCGCGAAAAAGGTAATATAAAGTGTTTGATTTTCTGCAGTTATATGTATATAAATACATATAATATATATAATTTTTCATTATACGTGTCTCGTAATAAATATTAAACATACAATATAACCAAAACAGAACTACAATTAAGAGCATTTATTTGTATTCCCTAATATTTTACGGACGTTTTTAAAGCTTTCCAATAACAAACAAGAAACATTTCCAAAAGCATTCCAAATTAAAATTATTTGGAGTGAAAGTGCGTTTAAGAGGGGATGCACCCAAGCGTAGTTGAGAAAAAATTTTCTACATTGATGACTTATTCATAGTGTGCAATGAAAAATATATTGTTGGCATACAGAACTAAAATTAAATTTATCTATATTTTGTTGCTATTTCCGCATTTTTTTTGCTATTTTAACCTTTTTCACAGTTTTCAATGGTTTTTATTTTTGATGACCCAAACACTTTGGTTTAAATAATTTTGGGGGGAATAATATATAAGGGAAGTAATAAGAACATATGTGTATGTATCTTCTTTTAATATGCATATATAAACATTACTATTTAGCTGCAATATTTTTCTAAAATAATGAAAATATTTTAAATGCAACTCTGCGTAAATATACACTACAACAAACGTATCGGATCGGAATAAGATAATTGCTTGTATTGGGAAACTAACTACAACAACTAAAATGTAATATTACTAAGCAACAATGCACTAACAGCTCATAAACGAGAATATATTCGTTTGTATGGTTACTCTAGTCGGTGTCTGTCCAGTTGCAGTTTTTATTTTTATTACACAAAGAAAATGAATAACAAAACAAAACTTTATGCAACTTATTTACGTGTCTATCCTACTACTATTTAAGTATTTATTTTGTTATGAGTTCAGTCTCTGTTTAATTTTTTTGTCTATCCTAGCTGCGAAAAAAATTTGTATTTGTTTATTTATACAGATAAATATAAGAATGTGATTTTTTTTGCAAGAATTATTTTTTAAAAATTAAACTATAAGAAAATAATATTAAAATAGGACAAATGAAATCAATCGTAGGGAATCAGACATTGGCTCTTAATCAGCGGCTAATTAAAAAAACAAAAAACTTAATTTTTTTAATCATTTCAAAATTGTATAATTGTATTGTATAAAATATTAATTTGTAATTTACTTTTCAAAATTTACACTTTCATTAATTTGTTATTCGAAACTTGAAAGTTAAGTTTAGTTTAGTTTTTTTTCTGTAATGGTCTGCTGTGGTAAATGTGAAGTCTTTATGTTATATTTGTTGCTATAGATGCTCGCCCTGCTTCCCCTACACTGTTAGACAACACGGGCCTCCCTGCCCCCGATCACCAAACGCAGGTAAATACTCTTTTCTCTTTTTTAACGAAAAAAACGCATTTCTACTCTACGTTCGTTCATTCTGTTTCGTTTTCTTGTCTTATTTATTGAGCAGAAACAATATCTATAAATATACATGTAAAAATATAACCAGAAAAACATTACTATATCACCATCCCCTACTCTCTTTACCCCAACCAGTCCATTTATGCTCTCTCTTTAACTAATATTTTACTTCAAATAAATAATTTATGTGTTTATTAAATATTTTTAATATATAAATTAAGTTGATTTTTTATAATTTTGTAATTCCACATTTTTAGTAGTCTTACTTTTGCAGACAGGCTTTAGATTTTAAACTTCTGAAATATAAGCACATTATTCAGATCGGTTGCTGTCCTTTTACTTAATTACTTAAATTTAATCAATAAAAATGTTTAATACTTCTAAGGTGCTACATTAAAATTTCTTCATATTTTACCGCTAATCAAATATTATTAAATATGAATTAGAAGAATACATATGGTAGAGCACGAAATATTCAGAAGCTTACATAATATTTTTAAAGTTGTGTTATGGTTGAACATTTTCTAATTTTATAAATTGTTTTAATATTCCTCAATTCAGCAACTGGTCTGAAAACAATATTTGCTCTGGTTGATTCATTATTCTGTTTTCTGGTTTATTATCATTTTTTTGTTTATATTTTATTGAAATATTAAAACAGTTTCATAAATTCTGAACTCAATTCACAGAACAAAAATACTTAATCGAGAAAAATAGTTTCATTAAAATAAAATTCGTTAATTGCGAAAATTGGATAAGGACAAAATATCAGTCAAGCATTTTACAGAACTATATATAATATATAAATACGAAAACTTATCAACCAATATGGTCATATTGTCAGAATACCAATATATATATATTTATATATAAATTGAACAAACAAACAAATAAAATATGAAATAACCACTTTATGTATAACTAGCAACATTTTGAACAAACTCTTGTAGTTACCATTACCAAATACTATCTATACTCGTATTCGTACTATATTTTTCCATAGTAACATATTTGTTGATATTATGATATACAGTAACCCCGCAAACGTGCATTTCGAGCATTTAGAAAACATTTTAATTTTATTTTCCACAAATTGTGTTTTCCACTGTCATTATTTATTTGCATATTTATCACTTTCCTTTCTTCATTTAATATTTGTATCATTTCACATCATTTCCCATATTTTATAACAATCACTTCATTGTTCAGGCGAAAAAAAATGTTATACAATTGATTCATAATGACGACCAGTATTTCCAATATTTTGACGTTTTCTTATATTTGTATTACAATTAAGTACGGACATAGCGAAAACAGTTGTGAAAGATCTCTGACTTCTAGAAAGACACGAAAATATCTTGAGTTACGGAGGCTCTTAATTTTTTAGTCTTAAGCAGATAATTTAGGATTATAATTTATACAATAAGACCTTGATAGCTTTCTATCATAAAACATAAGCACTCGCAAATGATCAATGGCAACAAAGGAGTTCCACAACACCACAGGTTCCTTAATACATTTCACTAGTTCATCCATTATGCTTTATTACCTAAAAAGGGGGTAAAGTTTCGAATACAAACTTTCGTATTCTGGATTGAAATGGGTATGGCCCGATAGAGGAAGTTCCCCAGATTTAATATAAATCATTAGGGTAAAGCGGGCTTCACATATAGTTTAATAATACTTTGATATAGAAGTTTTCTATAACAGTAAACTTTATTGACAAATTAAGCAAATATAAATCGGTTTCTACCTCCTATAACTATCAAATAATTTAAGATTGACAGAGACGTAAACCGTATATGATTTGTTAACAAGGAGGCCAGGTAATAAGCTAAATTTATTATGTTTTCATGGTATACAATAACAGATTCTGATAACAGGTTACGTAGTAGAAAGGTTGTAACAAAAGTGTGGATGTATAACATAGGTAGAAGTGTCTTCTTACTCTCGTCAAAGTAAACAATTTTTGTACCCCGAAAAAAAGAAATATGTCTCCATGAATAATTATAATTTTTGTTTTAGAACACTAGCGTTGCACCCATCGCACTCAATCACTAACATCGAATGCATATGCACTGAAAAATCATACAAACATTTTAAAAAATACATACGAATACATTTAGCAAAGTGTAAATACGAAAATCATTTACATAAAATTTTGTTAATTCTAGTTTGAAACACAATTATGAACACTAAGTAATTAGTGACATTGCCTCCAGAACCCTAAAACATGCCATGCCATTATTAGACTTCATTAGTTGACAACAAATAACAAAAGCAATAATATGTATTTTGTATAAATAGTTTATGTTTTATTTTTGGTAAACGTAAAAATTCTTGAATTATGATTTTTATTAATATTGGATGTAATGAGTGTAATTATTGTATTAAGTACATTACCTCTATGTGATTCACTGTGTAATGCGACCAATATAATCTATGAAAACTTTGTATTTTTATTTGTTAGTGTAAAAAGCTTATTTGTTCATTTTAAGTTTTAGTTTTGATGTGTGGGCTGTGTAACTGTTTTATCTCCCCTATTTATTTTGCTGCGTTCCCATTGTAAAATATCCTTCCTAAATTTCAGCATTTTGTTTAGATTATTTTTGTGCAAATATTACTTATAGATTTGTGTGTACTTTGACAATCAATATTATTTATTGTAAATAGTTGCTTTTGCTTTTTTATTAGGTCAGCCATAATATATATTTTCTTTTGCCTCTCCATGTGCTCCCTTTCACTTTTTCTACTTGTGTAGTAACGTTAGGAGACCATCGGAATCTCCACTCATAATTTTATTTATTGTTTTTATTTACTTGATATTATTTACTTTTTTTTTCAAATTTCGCATTTGCTAAATTAAAATTAACCATTCTAATTTTTGGTATTATTTACAAAAGTTTTTAAAAATCTTTTCTCCTATCGCTTTGACTCTTTAATTTTTTATATTTTGTAAAGAACTGCGACTCGTCTGAAACTCAGTAAATTAAACAGGAGTAAAAATTATTCAAATATAATTCCATAAACTATATAATACAAAATTTGCCCAACATAATCGAGTACGCATATGCGCCGACTGTACTCAATATCAAGAGATTATAAATATGTAGATTTGGCAAACAAAACGTCGCATGTAATTCAATATTTGTACATTAAACAAGTCACAAAAATTTAGGCGTTAACCCTCAGGATAGTAAATGAAATCTATATATACATACATATATAGGAAATAGTAACTGCTTCTTTTGATTTTTTTTTTGAAATAGATATTTTGTTGCTTTTGTTGGTATTGATTTTGAAAATTAACAAGAAAGTACAAACACTGTTAACCCGTCAACTGCCACCTAAGTACCATGCGCCCACCAAACTCACCACCGCTGCCACAACTCTCACCCTCAACAAAGCGTCGTACTTCAAACTTTCGCTCATACATATATATATATATACATACTAACATACATATATAAATATTTTTCCAATGTTTACATTCTCGTATATACCAGTTTTCAACATTTACATACATACTTGTAGTACCTACAAACTAATAAATAAATAAAACTATACGAAAATGTTTATATGCTTTTGTTAAGACATATATAAATGTCCAGACAGATTTTGATAATTGAATTTAAATATTATAATTACCATGAATATGAAGAGAAAGTTCAAGGCTATATATATTTTTGCCTACGATTTAGTAATTTAGTTATTTTTTATGAGTTCTGAAGTTTTCCGTTTTTCAGTTCGTAAACAAACTATTAACATACTCGTATTTACATATATTTCAATATCTTCACCTTGAGTTATGTTATTCTTACAATAATGCCTACGTTGTTCTTAGTATTTATAAGAGTTATGAAACTAGTTTCTTTAGAGTGTTCAAAGTTCGAAAATGTTATGAAAACGTTGCTAGTTCTACATAAAAACCCATCTTCCCATTGATCTTCTACTAACTTTTATTGAAGATTTTTAAAATTTTCTATTTTTCAAAGCAGTAAACGATTAAAATAAGTCAACTGAAAGACAAAACAATTTAAACAAATAATAGAGTAAAATAAAAAAAACGGTATTTTAATGTATTTATATGTTTCGGTATGGTGAAAAGAAATAATTCATTTTTGTATATTCGTATTAAACGTGGTTAACAAGATTTTGCTATAGGCTATACATATGTATGTATGTATTTACATTTGGCACAGACGACTTTTGGATTCTGTATTATATTTTTCTCAGTATAGTACTGTTGAAGCCGAACGTTTTATAATTATGACAGCATAATTTTATATAATACAAGGTATTTAGCTTTGAGATTAACTAATAATGGAAACGATTTACGATTGTATTTCGAAAACATAAGAGTTGAATGCAGACTCCTCAGTCATTTTCTATGATTGCTTTCTTATCTTCTTCTCCATATTCACAGGTTTCAAATGTTTCTACCTCTATTTTTAGGGATTAAAATGGAAGTTACTCAAAGTATTAATTTATTTCATTTGAGATTGAACTCGATAACATTCATTGAAGAATTTCTAAGCGAACTGAGAAGTAAGAGAACAGAAATTATGTAGCCCAGGAGCTTTCTAACTCGCCTTTTTCACAAATTCGAGCTTAAGGTAGACATAATGAAACTAAACTGACGTTCTCTAACTGTTAAATGATTTTTTGGAGAACGCATACATGCTAATATGGTACAAAAATCCCGCTATAAACAGAAGAATATTAATAGTAAAAATAATGTTCAGTGAATCGAGCGTCGAAAATTTTGTTAACCACATTAGACGTAATTTATTTCTTAAATGTTTTAACATTTGCTTAATTAATGATTTTGAAGCTGGTCAATTAAATGGCCACTATAAAAGAAATATTTGTGGTAAAGTTTCTGCAACTTTTGGGTTTATAGAGCTAAAATTTAGTTAATTTACCCTTTAATTAATAAAAAAACACGCGTTCCAAATCACTAACTAATTTTACCTGTTATTCCTCAATTGTACAACTATCTCTTTTGCTCTCCAATTTTCTAACCTACATATGTATGTCAAAATCTATCTACTTGCCCACCACTCCTCGTCTTACCCTTGAGATAACGAATAACGAAAACCTCTGTCGTAGTTCCAATATGAAAACATGAACATTTTTAAACATACTAATCTGATAAATTGTGTGGACATTTGCAGGGGATGATCGGTCGCGGTGGTAATATTGGTATGCAACAACAACAACAACAACCATATGGTCAGCAACAGACACAACAGCAGCAACAACAAATGGGTATGGGTCAAATGGGGCAACAACAGCAGGGCATGATGGGACAACAACAACAACAGCCAATGGGAGGACAAATGGGCCAAATGGGTACTATGGGTCAGATGGGGCAGATGACGCCGCAACAGCAACAGCAGCAGCAGCAGCAGCAGCAACAACAACAACAAATGGGCATGGGCGGGCAGATGGGACAAATGGGTGCCATGGGGCAGCAACAGCAGCCCGGCATGATGGGCGGGCAACAACAAATGGGCATGGGCGGTATGGCAGGACAACAACAACAGCAGCCGCCCGTAACGACACAGTCATCTGGTGGTTTATTCTCCGGTGCTACAAGCCTACTCTCAGGTGCTACTTCGGCTGCCACCGGTGGTCTATTTGGTTCGAAACAACCACCGAAACAAGATCCAATGCAACCACCAGTCGGTGCGCAGCCAATGCAGCCAGGCCAACAACAGCCACCGCCGCAAGGGCAACAGCCACCGCCACAGGGTCAGGGACCAGGGGCGGGGCTGTTGGGCGGACTAAAAGGTATTGCAGCGGCGGCGCCCGGTGGGGATGTGCTTTCAAAAGGCAAAGATCTCTTTGGCAAATTTGGATTCGGCTTTGGCAAATAACCCCGGTCATTTTGTAGGGCATTTCTATTTATATTGTATCTAAATTTGTATTTATTATTAACTAAAAGATCGATACAACAAAAATCACTACTATTATGATCGCTTAAAAATATAAATTATAATAACAAAAATAAGGAATATTATAAATATGATTATGATTGTAAATCATACAAAGCAATTGATTGCAATGGTGATTATAAAAAACTAAAGGTACTAGTATTTTTTATCACATAATGACAAAAGTATGCAAAGCGCCAAAAAACTGATAGTAATATTTAATAAAATTAATTTTTGTGTTTTCCCCTTTTTGGCGGGCGAAAATACAAAGCCATATTTTACATACATATGTACATACAATATGTGTATATACCGAGCGGCTAAAAGAAGGCCGTGCTAAGGTGTCTTTTGACACAGAGGCATATATATATAGTGTGGTCACCGTACGGAATACGATAGAAAATGGCGATGGAAGAAGGTCTTGGGCGCTTGAATTGAAAGCGTATAAATAAAATATGCGGAAATCAACCCAAATACTGTGAGACAAAAGCTAGTAAAATTTAAGTACACAAAATTACACCAAGACACATATGAATGCCCCAATCGATCACATACACATATACAAATTAAAGTGAAATTTTGAAGATACCACTTTTAAGTCAAAAATGCAATAATATTCAACAAGAAATAATTTTTAAAAAAATCACCTTGAATGACGTTTATTAAAATTTATATGAAACTAACTCTTAATATGCAATTTAATTGAATTCTTCGTGTATTTACATACGAACGTACATACATATATAAATGCATACAATATGTTATCTATACCTAGCTACACATATAAACACATATATAAATATAATAATATACATACATATTTCCAGGCAATGCTAAATAAAATTATACATACTGCATACACATAGAACATACATATAAAAATTAATAAATAATAATAATATTAAAAAGTAAAACAATATATATATATATATATAAATAAATATATGAATATATTTACAAGAAAAATAATTATTTGTTACGCACATTGTTAAATTTGCTACTGTTGCTGACCAGTTTATAAATAAAACAAAATGAATATATAAAAAATTTGAAAGGCAAAAATATATGAATATATATGGAGAAAGATGATAAAAAGTAATATAATAACGCATAATAAAAAACAGGCTACTCACTATGTATTATATGAGTGTATGGAATAAAAATATTAAAAACAAATCACAACATACAAAAAAAACATATATCTAACCTATACTAAATACATTATACATATTAAAAATGAATGAAACCAAAGAAAACAACATTAAATTCAAGAAGGGAACAAGTTTGGGAGAATGAAAATTGAAGTACACTCTATGTGAGAAAAGTACACCTGTAAAATGATTCGTAAAGACAAAGAAGTAAATGGCTTCAAAACTGCGAAAGAGTACTATGTATATATGTACAAGCATATACACACTGACATATAATATATACATATATATATACAATGATATAAGATAAAAGTGAGTTTGAATGATATAAGAAATCTGCTTTAAAAGTAACACTTAAACTTGAATGCTAATACTTTAACTGATACGTACATACATACATACAAAAATTTAGTTAAAGCTATTTCCAATTGATTAATACTACGCGAGTGAATTTAAAAAATTTAATCTAAATACCAAAATTTAACAAAACATTTCCTAAACTAATGCAATTAATTCAATGATTAAAAGCAAACAAAATAAAAAATAACGCTTTTCGTTAGTAAACTGTAAAAGAAACCTATAAAAAGAGAAGATACCATAATTTTTCCTAACATTTGCTTATTCATGATTTGCTTTTAACATCTGAGATATACACATACAGATGCCAAAGGCAATTGTCATTTTCACATCAAATTCTATGCGCTATAGTTCAACTTTGCATTCATTAGAGAAAACTGTTTATTTTTCAAACAATAATGCTTCAGAAGATATATGTAAATTCACTAATACATATATGATATACAAGTATTTATAATAAGCAAATAAGATACACAAGTATGTATGCTTGTAAATTAAAAAAATTTAAAACCGCGTCCTAACCTCGCATTTTTTACTTTGCCCCTAGTTGACTGTCTATTATCTATGTTAAAACTTAACCTAGTAGTCATCTCTTGCGGCATTTTAAATAATCTCTACAGCTTTTACACTCGATCATAAAACCTTTATGTATGTTTTAAAACTAAACTTTTGATTTTCCAGTATGATTTGGTAAAATGTTAAAAAAGTGGCATATAAATTAAGGGTTCAAAAAGAAAGGATTTTGAACATCTTTTCTTATTTTAGAAATCTTAAAAAAATAAAATTAAATGTACTATAAACAAGTAAGGATGGCTAATTTCGGGTGTAACCGAACATCCTATACTCTCGCAAGGTAAAGTGATATATGTGATTTCCGTATTTATTTTAATTAAAAGTGCGAAGTATTTCATCTGTTATTTACAATCACAGGCAAGAGGATACTGTTATTAGAAAGAGTTTTTTTTTCTGAATTTCCGTACCTGTACCGATCGGTGTTACAAAGTCGACCAGAAGTTCGAAAATATTTATATCAGGTATATGGGAGCTAAGGGAAGTATTGATCCAATGGCACCCATTTTTGGCACAAGGGCATGCTGTCATCAAAAAAATTTTCCTCCGAATGTCAATACTAAACCTCACGGACCTCACAGATTGACCGATATGTTCGGTAAAAAATTAGCCACATGCACTGGGGCCTGTATATTTGGTTCCTGGGTTCTTGAAAAGATATGGAATTTGAAATCTTGCTATATGGGACCTAGACTTAGAAATCAAACATCAGTTATCAAAAAAAAACTTTGCCCTCAAGGTATTTCGTGGCTTTTATCCGATTTCGTTCATTTTCACAGTGTTGGATAGGAATATGTTATTTGGGTTATATCACACACCAAATTCGGTTAAAATTGGTCAAGTACCTCCTGAGATATAGAATTTCACCAAAAGGTGGGTGGTGCCACGCCCAATGTCCAACTTCGTGGCTCATTTCTTCAGTGAGTTATTGTACTTTTAGTATTTTTCAACATAACCGATATATGGGGAGTGGGCGCAGTTAATACCTGATTTTACCCATTTTCACAGCGTATAAAGAAGTGCTAAAAGGACTTCTTCTCAAAAAGTTTTTTAGGGTTATCTTTAGCGGTTTGAAAGATATGTACATTTACCTATTTAGGGGGCGGGACCACGCCCACTTTAAACAAATTTTTCCTCCACAGATGTCCCTTGCTATTGCAATCCTCTGTCCCAAATTACAGTTATATCTTAATTTAGTGCTTAGTTATGGCACTTTATATGTTTTCGTTTAATGGCGTATTGTGGGCGTGATATGTAGAAAGTGTTATCAAGCTATTTCAATTTCTACTCAAGTTATCGATTACAAAAACAGAGAGAACGGGCAGGCAGTCAACCTGATTTCAACTTGTCTCGTCATCGTTATTATTTATAAATATATAACTACCTATGTATATATCTCGATTAGTTTGTGGTGATACAAACAACCGTTAGGTGAACAACCGTTAGGTAGCAAAATGTTGCGAGAGTATAAAAATGCCATTTGCTTTTTATATACCGTTGCCTTCGCTTTCAACGTTTCTAGAAAATTTGAACTTATCCTTTGGTAAATGAGCATTCGAAAACAAAACATTTTTGTTATAAAGAATATAGATAAAATTATTAGAATGAAAAATCTCTGGATAAAGTTTCACTAACACTTTTTAATACACACAGCTGTCGCTGAAAACTTCCAAAAAAATTAATTAAATAATATATTATATATTATATATAAATAGTAAAATTAATTGTTAATTAATTGTTATGTTGTCTTTTCGACATTAACATTGCTTTTAATTTTGAAAGTTATTACTTTTACCTTTTTTGCGTTTGAAAACTATAACAAAATTTAAAGAAGATTTATTTTATAAATCTTGACAACACCGAGGGCTTTAATTGAATATAGAACACAAATGTCTCTAAGCTTTTAGGATTTTGACAAGACTTTTAAAAAATTTGATGTTTTAGCAAAAAAAAAAAATGTCTAAGTTTCTAGCTAATTTTAATGTTCTATTTTACCGTTATGTTAAATATTAAACTTTTAATATAACAAAAAAGCACAAAATTTCAAAGAACTATAGGGGATAAGCTAACCATACATACATACATACTATTATTATAACACATTCAAAAATCGTCAAGTCTCCAAAATGATCTTGCTTTTCACTCTAAGTTGCTTTCTTAACATAAGTACATACATATGTATATTTAGAAAATTAATGACAAAATTATCTGCCAATAGCTCCAATCTAACAAACTTCATAAATTTTTGTATAAAATAATTCCATTTTTCAAATATTCGCAAAACATACTTGTAAGAACAAAAATACTTTTATTATGCATACATATGTACATAAAAAGAAATTTATAATCCAAATTGCTAATGCTTACTAAATAACAATAAAATCGAGTTCAACAAAGAAGTAACCCTGAAAATATGCAGTTCAAAATGCTTCTAATGCATTAAATAATCAATACAAAATTAATGAATGTAACAAGCTGCAACTATACAAGTATATTCACATGCTTTCCTTCACATTCTCAAAACAAAAAATAGGAAAAATTGTTTAAAGTAATAACTAAGTGAACATGCCACTTCTAAAGTAACTGTAAAAGCCAAAGCTAGTAAATTAATTTCTGGAAAAGATATTAATGCAGTCAAATAAAATCGGTAGGAACAATTTTAAATTAATTTAAAAATCATACGCATACACTGGTGTTAATAATCGTATGCATATATACATACATACATACAAGTAGATAATACATACAACAATTTACAAAATCACAAAAACATGAACGAAAATACCAAATATTTTATGTACCTATTGTATCACTTAATAAACAAACAAAAGAAGCAATGAAGTAGGGAAGTGGAAGGGAGTAGTTGACATGAAGAAGATAGAACTGAGATAACATGTACAGAAGTAAAAAATACACACATACCACATATACATATAAGTATAATAGACAGTAAGCAAGACTTAAACAATATCCTCACACTCACTGACATTCAAACTAATTCACCAACAATATTCTCACACTTCAACACTTCCACACACACATTCTTACATACATATATACATACATTATTTCTAACGCTCATTATATTTTTCTTGAATCTTGCAAAAAAAGTTTAAATTGCAAAATAAAAAAGAGAGCAACATTAAAGACAGTTAGTGTGGTATTACGGTTATTTGCAAAATATACACAAAAATCTCACAAACAAATACATATATAAGCATATACACATGCATACAAACATACACACGTAATTGCACTAGCGATTACAAGTAAAACAACAATACGTCGAAAACAAAACATTCCCAACAACAAACCAAAACAATACAAATAATATTCAATCGTTGACTATCCAATGTTGCCCACAAAATGAAAAACATGTTTACACCTAAATTTTTTATATACTAAAATAATGATTTACTATTTATATTTACTTAGTCAAAGTAAAAGCGATATGTTGATAATAAGCAATGGAAAATAAATACCGTAATATATACTATAAATAGGATTTACGTATTAAAAGTGGTTTACTATAAATCCTTCTAATCACGACCGTTATTGCCAACTACATTTCTAAAATTATATTCATCTTACCACTCACAGCTCGCAGTTAGCTGGCAAGCCAAGCTTTAAAATTTCAAGACATTTAGTTATTATGGAATAAATGGCAGCATTTAAAAGATAACAAGTACACTTACCAATTCTATTAAACACACACAAACATTTATACACTTGTTAAAATCACGCCCACTATTCACTATATCTACTTATATACTCGTTGAAAGCATAAAACGCAACGTTTACAAATTCATACAAACATACAAATATACCAATCTTCATGTGTATGTAAGTTCTCAGTTACAATCATACGTATGTACGTAGTATTGCAGATTGTTCACAATTTTACTAACGCATACATACAATACAGAAATGTTTACTTACATACATAAATTACAATACTTAGCAAAAATCTCCCTAGCAAAATTTTTGTTTAATAACTATTTACCATGAAATTAATAAATTGCGAAAGAAACAGTCAAATACTTTCACAGGTTATAAATTTATCTGTAACTGAAAAATAGTAAAAGAAATTAGGCAATTAAACGGTGAATGCACAGATGATAATTACAAACTACATAATATGTATAAAAATAAATTTAAAATAATAACTATAATATAATAACGATGATGATAATGATGAAACAGACAATTGTTATACGGTATTATTATACTTTTTCTATAACTTATAATTTATTTAATAAAAGTAAATGCGAAAAAATCGTAAATACATAATTGCAAAAAAGAAAATATTGCAGAAAAATTATTTCTTACTTGTACTTCTTCAAATTAGAATGAGTAGTTGATTTTGAATTATATAAAATATTTCATAATATACCTCACACAGGGCTCTACATATTCGGTATTTGAATGCTTGAAAATTATATTCCGATTCCCATAATTGGTGCTTGATTTATATCTTAATTGTAATTGGAATCAAAAATTGTGATATTTGCGAAATATGTTGTAGTCGTAATTCGCCCATTTCATTGGTAGAAGAAGAAACTGGTAAAATACAAGTAGTACCTGATATATAGAATGTCACCCAAAGGTAGGCGGGGTTTTCAACAGATGCCCCTCTCTTCTGCGGTTTTCATTACCATATTATACTTTTATATCTTAATTTTTAGCCTAGTTGTAATACTTTACAATGTTTCGACTAACTTAATTTTGCGGGCGCAACACCAACCTTCTGTAAATCACGTTTCAAAACAGTGTATGCAATGTGCATATTACATATTTGTTTTGAATTTGTCGTCGGTTGTGCCATAAAATCGTCGCATAAGCACTAACTATCAGTTAAGCTTTACAAAGAGTATACTATTAATACACGTCCCCACACACAAGTATATATACAGCTTACGGCTTCTCATTAAATATATTAATCAACAAAGATAAAATCTTAGCTACTGTTTACCAAGAACAAATGAAAAATGAGGAGAATTACGCCGAAATTAAGTTAAATTATTCGAGGCGAATTCAGTGAAATTGTTTTCATATACAGTTTTATATTCAACGATTAACGTCAGCAGTTACAACGAAAACTTGCTAATGAGTGTGTTTGTACGTTATTTTTCATTCCTATACGAGGCGTGTTCAAAGGAAAAGGTAAACTTTGAATTTTTTTGAAATGTACTTATTTCTTCATCAGTATCTATTTTGTCCCCATCAAAATAGGCCCCCTCGGATATAATACATTCGAAGCACTTCTGAAATGCGCACTTCGGTATGGGCATCAGCTCTTTCTTCGATTCTGATTTGATCTCAATAATTGTAGCAAAACACTTTTCTTTCATTGGTTTCAGCCCGCGAAAAATCAAAATTTACCTTTTCCTTTAAACACACCTCGTAGATTATTATCTGACATACAGTCCACAGAATGGAGAATCAACATTGCAATGAATAAAGCCAACGCGTTATCATAAATCATCAAAGCAATGATCCTCCGATTTCCTTAGAGCACTTAAAAAATGAGAAAGAAAACACAAATGATGCCAAAATAGCATAAGTTGCAACTATACTATATGTATATCTTCGTGATTTCAATAAGGATAGTAAGTCGACAGCAAAAATTACATTACCATCCTAAACATCTCATAGTTCTATTCTTAAGTAAATATATGGAATTATCAGGAATAAGTATGCTTGTGTAATGATGTTGGGCTACGATTCATCACAATTATACAAATCCTTTATAATATTCGTGTTTTTTTTTCAGAAAAATACTCTCGATTCGAACATATTTACGGTGTTCGGTAGAAAAATAGCTGTATAAGTTCTCTGGTCAAAAACCAATGCTATAAGATACACCTCACCTTAAACATTGTTGATTGATTGATTGAAAGATATGGAGCGATGGGCCGAGACGAAAATATTCACGATAATCAAAATTGATAGCAAAATAAATCAAGATATATATCCAACATACAGACATACTATATATATATACAGAGATACTTTATTCAGGATAATAATAAAACTACTATTAATTAATTAACTAATAATGACAATAATGTGGTCTATGATTAGATAATGAGGAACTCTCTCGTTTCTAGTGCTAAAGTTTCGACACTTATTTAGTTCTAATGAACTATAATACTACTGTTTTATTTCGTATTCTCATTAGTCTTTATATATACAAATGTGAGCTCAATTGCTCTTTGATTCCATTTTTAATTACTGTTTCTTTGGTGACAAATCGTCAGAGCAAATGCGCCCACCTTCACAATAGTTGATGTTCTGCGATTTATGCATTAATTGCTGTGATTCTTCACTAATGCCGAACAATACCAATAAAACATTACGTTCGTGCAATTCCTTAGCCACAGCACTGATTACATCCACGAATGTGGCATCGAACTGCATGAACCGTCGGCAATCCAACACGATTGGAAAATCGTCTCGATACAGCAAACAAGCCTCGCTGATTTTATCTCGTATATATTCTATACCTGAATAGTAGACATCGGAGGTGGGACTGACAAAGATGTAATTGCGATTTTCGCACTGTAATGTCCGAGCAGAAGAAGCAAAGTTTTCAATATACATTTTGATCGTAAACCTCTCTTTCAAGCTTACCTCCATCAGCGTCACCTCCATTTTGGGATTGCCCAATCGTAAAAGTACGAAAATCATGTTAAGCACGATACCAAAGAGTAGACCCACTTCTACGCCAGTGGCGAGGCATACGATAAAACACCCAACCCAACTGAAGAAATCTTTCTTATTCGTACGCCAAAAATCTTTAATGGGCGAGAAGTCGATCTGGAAGTATTCAACAACACAAAGTTTACTATTTTTTTAGGTATTACAACAAGTAAAACAACAATTGCAACAGAATTGTCAAAAGCGATATTTTTGGTTTTCGATGAGGCTATGAGGCATTCACTAGTAAAACGAGCTACTAGTGGTATACTACAATATATACTTTTGTATACATATTTATCAGTGATGTGTTTGTAATAAACTCGAGGAAACATGCCGAAATAGATAATGCATACTGCACACGCACGGTGTGTAAGAATAAAATGGATAAAGGAATTATAGTGCACTCTGCAATTTTGTGAGAGATAGAGAATTGGATTTCTGATCTTTGTATACTCACCATAAACACCACAGCTATAATAAGTAGAGCCGCAATTGACGATTTTGGTATATACCCAAAGTATGGAGTAAGCACACTGAGCGCCAAGTACACCAAAATAGCTTCAAAAGAAAGAGAAAATGATGGACTGTTTCATGCTTTACAGATGGGGAAATAGTTACCTGTATATATACCGCATAAGGGAGTGCGCACACCACTCGCCTGACTGACGGCGGAGCGCGTGAAAGCACCACAAGTGGGCATGCAATTGAAGAACGATCCAGCTATGTTACAAATACCCAGAGTTAGCATCTCCTGGGAGGCATCCAAACGATTGTCCTTAACTACAAGGGTTTAAATTATTTTACAATTTTTTATGAACACACGATTAAGATAGTTTCGAGCTCACCAAAAGCCTTTGCAATAGCCACGTTTGCTAAAATTGCAACGATGGGCACCACTGCAATGCCACCGCCCAATTCATGGATGATGTCGGTGAATACGAGTGTTGTGTTCTTGTAATCAAAAGCGAATGGTGGCAAGCTGAATGTCAATTGAGACGAGGTAACCTTTGCAGTAAGCGTGTATGGTATTGCCTCCATCGACCGATTTTTCACCCAGAAGTACGTAATTGTACTGCAGATGAACACAACCAGGGCATTGCGTGAGATGCTTACGTACCATAGGAATTTCTTAAATCTACGTGTATTTGGCGTGTTTGTCTTAAAATTGATGTATGCTAATTGCTGTGGAAATCAGAAAAATTAAGGTATTAGTTATTGCAATTCAGCAAAATTTACATAATCTGCCTTCGCTTCGCCACTTCTATGTTTTTAATTATTGACAAATGTGCATAATAAAGGAACAAAAAAGTTTTGCGATTGAGTTCTATATAGGTATAATAATAAAGCCTGTGAATTCCTTATTAAAAGATATAAGCGCTTAATATTTCATCTCTGCTTTATTACGCAAGTGTGATTTTAATATAATTAAGGTATTAACTGATACTTACTCTCAAGAGCAACAACACCACCAGACAAATGAGGCCTAGTATGGCATCCGAATAATGTATCCTCTTGAATAGTTCACCAAATGACGGTACACCTTTTCCTTTTAGACCTAATAAATTTTTAAATTGCACAGCTGCTACAATGACAGCGGTGGCACTGGTGAATGCTTTCGTTACTGGCGTTGGTATAAAGTTTACGACGAAACCTGGAAACACAATTTGAAATTAAATTTTTGTGTAATTTAGATGCTGATATATTATTTGAATTGTTTATCTACAGTGGTACAAATATATTCAGTATTTAGAAAAGCTTCGCAATAAATTTTAATAAATCAGTTCCACAAAATAAACACCTAATATGTGACACCACACTTTTAGCTAAAATTAGTTTATAGGAAATCACCTCATAGATCACACCTTACTGATATCGGCGAAAAACATGCATTCTCACTCGAAATATGAATCTACAAGTATGTATATATAACATTTTGATTTCCTTCCGAAATTAGCTTTTTCCGACTAGTATTGAATTGTATTTCACACATTTGCTGCAGAAAATACAGAGTTAAGCCATTTATATATAAAGCAGGAATCTCATATACCTATGTATATGCATGTATGGCAGATGAGCAATTAGGTGTGAAAAACTAGTCAAACATTGCATGCAAACAATGACAAATGTAATTGAGTCAGCATCGAGAGTTTTGCTTATTAAACTAATTAGTACCATTAAATTTTTGCTGATCAGTGAAAATAGTATTTGTTGTTATTTATCGTAAATTGTTTTTCTATTCGATGTACACAATTTAATGAATATCACATTTTTCTTCCCATTGAAGTGTGCGTATGTGTGTGTATTTTTCGAGAAACGGATGCCATTAAAATATTGCTGAATTAAAATTGATGAGAAGCTTTTTAATGATGGAAAAGCATTGAAAGGTTTTATAATGCCAATTGATAACGGAAGCTATTAAAAAAGCTGTTCTTTAATTATACATACTATAAGATGCTTATTTGAAAAATGCAATTTTCCAAAAACTAAAATTTGTTTAAACGCTAAGTATATACAGACAAAGGAGCAGACTCAATTAATTATATAGAAGCTTACCCAGTTGAAATGCGCCCATAAGAAGCTCCACAAGACCCGCTAAAAATGCGAGTACAAACACAAATTGCACTGGCCGTTCACCGACAAATTGCAAAACCATCAAAGACATTAAACTTGTGGGCCCAATCGATACTTGAGGAATTGTGCCGAACAATGCATAGAAAACTTTGCCTGAAAGAGGAAATCAAGAGTTGTAAATGCGCCAATGAGGCACATATTTACATAAGTAATATGCATATATGTATTTAGGATGTGTAGGTTGTTTAGTTTTTGTTGTTGTTGTCACAGTTTTTAAACACAAACAATGTCTTCACATAAATTGAAAATGAAATGATTGCCCCTCATTCTGTCAACTTACCAATAATAGCCGAGTACAAGCCATATTCCGAAGAGAGTCCGGCCAGTGCAGCATAAGCGATACTCTGTGGTATAATCGTTAAGCCCAATGTGATGCCGGCAATTAAATCCGCTATAGCAGTTTCACGGTCGTAGGTTTTTAGCCAATTCAAAAAGTATAAGCGTCTTAAAATCCAATGTTTCTCTGGTGGTTGCTCATACTTCACTGTATCTATCATCACCTTAGTGTCCAGCAATTCACCATTTTTCATTGGTTTCAGCTCCTCCAGTGCTGTAAGTGAAGAACACAAATAGTCGATATTTAAAATATATTCGGCAAAGATTTGCTTTCCGATTTATTGAAATTATAATTAAAATTAGAAACTCATCTGCGGTAGTAATAATTAAGGCTACATTGTTTTGATACCAAATTAATAGTAATTTCATTGTTTTTGTGCGTTGAATCACTAATTTGTACTTAACGTTTGGAATATGCTCATTTTTGGTACGACTATGAGGGCCGTTAAATTTTTGGAGTGCGTGGCTACCCTGCGCCAATACGTCAGTCATACCACTGGTATCATTTATTATTACATTTATTATTATTATCATCAATATTATACCGTTTATACCACACATATTTACATTTATTTTCCACTAAATTATCGGCATTTAGAATATCGTCCTCATTCTTCGAAAACCCAGCTTGTGTCTTATCAAAACTATTTTCCACAGACTTCTCGTTAATTATTGACATTTGTTTATTTGAGCCATCCCCACAGCTTTGGGATTTGTAATTTGTTAACTGCGGCAAACGGAATGTACGTTTTATGAAGAATCTCATTTTGAAACTAATAGCGAAATTTTAAAACTAATAACAGCAAGCGAGTTTTCAGCCGAATTGAATTACGAATTGAGTGTGTGTTTGTCTGTTGTCTGACAGAGCTTTTAGTGCTGAAGTCGTGGTTTCAATTTGAAGCTATGGAGTATAATGCCAAACTCAGTGTTTTCATGAAAGCTCTCAGAAATATATTTGTATGTACGTACATATGTAGATAGACATATTAACAATTAAACATTAATTGTTAGTCAAACATTTCTTGCGCTTGCTTTTTGTTTCGCCAACAATTTAGGGGATTTTTCGAACACTTCATATACATACATATGACATAATAATATACATACATTCGCATATACTTGTATATGTACATACATTTTAATGTTAGGTCCGAATAATTATATTTGATTACTTTGATTTATCAGTCAAAACAATAATTATTAGCGCTTCTACTACGTTTCAAGAGATTTCAGCAAATTTTTAGATACGATTA